ATCGTCTGGGATTTTCCCGACAAATGAAAACCAGGCTTTAGAAATTCAATGATAACATTTTTTTTTTTCATAAATAGTAAAAAACTAGTAAAAAACCAGTTGAGTACATCCTCCATGATCCACCGGTTTTGTTCGCTCTAGCTCATATACAGCTTGCAACTCAGGCTTTAAATAAAAATTGCCATCAAATACACTCGTCTGGTGCTTATATTACAGGATAAATTAGAATAATGAATGGCATATCTTGTCGTCAAGTTGTGGGCGTGTGTAATTTTTTTACTAGGTTATTGTACTCAGATCATAATAAATTATCTGAATTTGAAATTTAATCATATATTGAATTCAGTCACCTTACGATTTGATTTTCCTTTTATGCATGGATTGTAATAAACTGCATCCAGGAGCTCCTGCTGCATTGTAATTCTTAAGATAAGAACGATCGAACCGCCTCAAAGAAGCATGGAAGGTGATTGCAATGAGAATCACGCCATTTTTGCAAAAACTGCTATTAGCTGAGCTGCCAAATACAGCAAATTGCCTTTAGCTGGCGTGAGTCAGGTGAGTCAAGTGTACAGGAAAAAGTAACAAACATTAAAGAAAAACATACCTCCATAACTGTGCTCTGTAAGTTTAGATGGGAATACTGCTATTTTGATTAAAGAATGATTTTTTTACACATATACGTGAGTCAGCTCACATTCCTTGAAGATTGTGCAACTGAGTCACGAGTTTACCTCCTTAAAAATTTTCCATCCCCTTGTCACAAAACGATGCTCCCGCACGCAACAACAATAAGTATATTCAGTATTACCATTTTTGTACAGGTGTCACCGATTACCGTGTGGCTCGAAATGTTTGCGGGAGTTTATTTTTGCGGATTGGCGATTTTTTTGTGCGTTGTAGGAATTAACTTTGCGAATAGGAGAGATTGCTTTTTCTTGCTGGGAAAATTTACCGCGGAAACAGAGGAAAGAGTCGGTCAATGTAAGCCAAGATCAGTAGCTACCCGTCTAAGAAAGTCGGCTCGAATCGACGTTTTCGCGGTAAAATAAGGGACTTTGAACAGTCCAGGAGCAGCCTTGTTGAACGGAACCTGGCGCGGATCCACGCCAGTTTCCACCGTTTTACGGAAATCGGTCACATTTTTCATAATAAATATATTTTTAATAATAAAAACACTTTTCAAGTTCAAAGCTGGCCAATATCCTCTCTGAATGACTCGGAAACCCAGGAAAGGGGCCCTTAAGGAGTAAAAATCCAAACAATTTCCTGGGGGAGCCCACCCCCGCACCCCGCTGGATCCGCGCCTGGGTACAGGGAGTGATCTTTAAAGGTGTGTACTGGAAACGGCTTTGCAGTTCCTGCAGCCGTGAATTAGTCAGTGGAGAGAACTGGAAAGACGTATGCGTTACCAGGCTAGCCGTGGAGACGGAAGTCTAAGCCGGAAAAAGCTGAGAATATAACTAAAGCTCCCGTTTTTTATCAAGAACTTTCGGTGCGTGTTGATTGAAAATAAAACACTTAAAGCCAGATAAGGTTTTCAAATAAGCTTCATTTTACCTTCATCTAACAAAACTAGCAACAAACAAAACTAAACTAAACTAAACACTACAAACGATAAAGTATGTGTGCACTGTAACACGATTCAGATACCATACAGTTTTCATGATTTGATAGTGAGTTCAGTTCCTGGTGCCCACAGCCGTTCACTCACAATTCTCTTCTTTTAAACAAATTGTTTATCATTCCATCTTATGTTTTAAGAAAATGAGGCTATTGGCACAGGACACCCAAACTCACAGTTTGTGTGTTCAGTAAGATCATTAAAAACGGTGCCTTTGTAATATTTTATATAAGGAGTTTAATTTATATGGGGAACATAAAATTTAGAAAAAAATGAACTATAATCGAAAACTTATAGTGCAGAAATAAAAACAAGAATAAAATACTTTTGCTACAACAAGTGTTAATTGTTTGATTTACGGCATCTTTACCGAGTATGAGTTACGAATAATGATTTTTTTTTCGAATTTTCTGTACGTTGCACAAACATAGGAGAGGTACAGGTTTCTTGAAACGTCAAACCGAGTGATGGAGAAGTCTCGTAGCCAAATTTAGAAAAAAAAAAAACAGAAGCTAGAAGATTAAAAAAAAATTCGTTGCAATTGACCAATCCAGAAATACCATAATATACCATAATGCTCTTTGTGTGTCACCCCAACATTTTGCATAAGCATTGTCTTCAGTTTCTTTTGGGAGTTAAAATAGCCCCAAGAGAAACTGAAAACAATGCTTATGCAAAATTTTGGGGTGGCAAACAAAGAGCATTATGGTATGTTATGGTATTTTCTGGAGTGGTCAATTTGCAATCTTCACTGTCAGTGCGTTAATTACCTAACAAGAGATTTCAAAACTTCGTAAAACTTTGAAAAATGACTGGTTCTATGCGTTGATTAAGCGATTTACGAACACTATATCCAAAAAGCTATTACTAAGTATTTTACAACTTGGTGTCATCATGCCCGGCTGCAGTTATGCCTTGCATTGTTAAGTGCTGTCCAGTGATCTGTTCCTCGCCAATCATGGATCCTGGGTATAAATCAGATAAAAGAAGCCGTTAGACGGAAGAACTTGTTAAAGCCCAAACAAGTAGCATTCTCCTCCTTGTAGGATCAAGTTTAGTGAAGAAAAAGAAGCAATTTTTAACCTGCGCATGGAGTTTTCTGTTACCTTGGATAAGTGTCGAACCAAAAAGCAAAAGCTCTACGTTTTCGGAGTAAATCCGGCACACATAAGTAAGGAAGCTGCTTTTGCTTTACTTTTGCATATGGTCAGATATTCTAGTCCTCTCGGATAAGTCGACAAGGACGAAAAATCCTAAGCCCTGTTGCAAAGAGCATGATTTTCACTTAATCTTTTTCTGTGGGGCGTAAAAATTACAACAACAAAAAACTGTCAAAGCAAAGGGGTCTGAACTGAAATCAAGGCATCCTCTGCAGGGACGCACACGGCACAGTTAAACACCTTTTGCAAAAACCGAAATTACAGCGCTTTGCCCCTCTTACAAACACAGTTATGTTCGAACTGCCTGGTTATTCTCAGCTCTGGGGATTGATTGCCTTTTAAAAAGGCTTTCTCCCTCGTCCACCCTAAGAAATGCTGTCCCGGCAAAAAGAGAAGATACCAAAAGTTTCTCATGATATAGTTATAACATCATTATGATATTGAAACACTGGTTACTTGTAGTTATTATTGTGAGGTTGCTGGCTGTCGATGCAGTCGTCGAGGCTCTGTTCCTCATAAACAAAATCTTCATTCTTGTCCTCCTAAATGACTTGACCAAACTATTCTTTATCTGAAAAAGATTGAGACAGTTCTATATATATCTGGCCGAGTTCCGGAAAGCTATCGCATTTTACGCCATTTATTACCCTTTTGCCTTTAATTTGCTTCACTGTCTGTGCATCCCATTGTAAAGCGTGCTCAAGAATAGCTTAGAACTGAGGAATCTGAATACAAAACGAATTCTGGCGTTTCTAAATTATTCAAATAACCCGAACTCCGTCATTTCTAAGTAATTTTCTGCGGATCAAAAAAGGTCCATAGTTAAAACTGAAAAGTTGACAATTTAGGATCTCGGCAGCTTGAATGTTTCTGAAATACCTGGTCATCCAGCAAACCATGAAAAATGCAAAACAAAAGGCCCTGTTGAGAAAATGAGAGAGAAACTGATGGTTATTATTTAGTCACAGATTGTACACAAAGCGACAGTAAGAAAGTTTCATCAATGCCCATGCGAGAAATTTTGCTTAGGACATACCCTCGCACTCTCACAGTTCTGACGCTTTTTTATCGTATTTTTTTGTACTAAGATTTTATAGATAAGAATCCTTCCCTTAAAGCGCCCCGGCCTGTACCTACTGTTACATATCACTCGCCGCGTACGAACGCTTGTTATTGTAAATGTAATTTAATTACCCACGAAACACTAACCGGACCTTTAAACAACTCGTTTAAAAGTGATCGTGTGATTCGAGCTGCGATTGAAGGTATTGGTATTTCAGCTGGTACCGTATTTCCTCGAATAATAGCCGGGGCGCGATTATCTTATTTTTCGCACCAAAATGGGGCGATTGTTTGATTGAAAGCGATTATTCGAGACAGCTTTGCGTGCATGCGTAAGATCGCAGCGGCTGGGCTAGGAAGCTTGCGGCCCTGCTGGATTAGGGTAATGAGGATACAGCTAGTTTAGTTATTTGCCTTTTATTTGCCAGTTTACGCTATGTCATGTAGTGTTGTATCTGCCTTTAAATATTCTTTTTTGTTTATTACCAGCCTTTTACCTGTAAAGAGTTTAAGGTGATAAACAGATACTGGATGATCTCGCTTAATTCAGCGACAAACCCTAGCAGCCACGTGACTCCCAGTAAGGGAAGGAGGGCAGCAACACTCTTCATTCCTCTTCTGTGAAGGAAAAACGCGATGAATTATGGGCTCTCTTCAAAACGAGGAGCGGAGAATCGGCAAGACGGGCAATGAGGAACGAAGAACGGATTCCCCTTCGCCAAGACATTCCTCATTTTAAAGATTCCTGCTTTTGAAGATTTCCCATTTCAAAGATTCCCCGTTTTAAAGATTCTCCGTTCCTCATATTAAAGACAGCCATGCATGATTTAAGGGAGAAGTCACACCACCTCTCTTTAGTGGCCCTTTGAAAGTACAAACCAACGACATTTTTTTACCAGTGTTAAGGAAAAATAAAGGTCAAATTTTATTTTAGTAAAATAGCTATTCCCGCAAAGGGACTCTCTCTACAAATGATTTCGAATACTGAGCGGGCTATGTACTGTTAACAATGGCAATCATCGAGAAAAGTCGGGCCAACCTTCTAAGTCGGTTCTTGGCATATCAGGTTTCAAAATCAAATGCTGTTTTATGAAACAAACCTTAAAAACAGATCAGCAAAGCGCACTATGAACCGGTGAGTTTAGTGGGCGGATCTCTTATAAAAAAAATCTGCCTATCAGTAGATCGAAAAGATTTAAAATTGAACAGGAAACTGATCTTCAAGGCGAATACAGAATCGAAGGGAAATCTCCCGGGCTAAAATGAAACTAAAAGAGTTACATTCTTTGTTCCAAGAAGATGGCTTGCCTGAGATGCTGTTATATTTTACTTACTTGGCTTTCTGGACATGGTTACTATGATACTTGATTGATATCTTAGTAAATATCACTCTTAACAGAACCACGAAGATAATGACATTGATCTGCAATGATACAATATTGTTAGGGAGTATTCATGCTTTCTTTTTCTATTCTGTTTATGGTATGCTTGATCTAGATGATACAATTGGTAGCCTTCGGTCGTAAGTAACTCCGGTCTGCTATAAGACACTATACACTAGCTAAAGTATACTTGAGTGATCCGTCTTTTTTGGAGTAGTACATGGATTGAAAAAGACAAAATTATGAATTAGTATTTAATGACCGCTGTAAGAGCTAACTGGAGAGATTAAGGGCACGGTGCGTGGACAGCGAAAGTTGAAGTGATGGACGGTAGATACCCTGCGAGCAGTGGTTTTCCGGAAAAACCACTGCTCGCAGGGTAAACGGGAGAGGAAAATATGGAGTTTTATCACCTGTCTCCGGCCCCCACTATAGTCCGTACCTTCTTCCTGCAACTCACGCATGCTTGAGCTAATTCTAGTGCTCACTAGTCCCCTCCCCTCCCCTCCCTTCACGTTCCCCGCCCATAGGAAAACAGACGCCCGAATTGCAGGCTGCGTCACAGTTTGTACAGTGTACCTACAAGTCGATACAAGCTTGCGTGCTACCATAAGTTATCCGTAAAACTAAACGAAGACTGGTATACGACAAGATGTATTGCTGAAAGGAAAAGACGCGGCTTACCGATAGGATTGTCAGGATTGGTGCTTTGTACAGCCACTCGCCATCGTGGAGCCAACACCTTACGAAAATCAACAAAAATTTCCACTTTTTTGTATCCCTTATATATGACATGTGTTTTCATAAACATACTGAAGATTTATTATAGCATAAAGAACAGAAGTACTGGGACGAGAGTCACCAATTCAGCTGCACCGTCATATACATACCGTTAATCCTCTATTACCCCCCCCCCCCCGGGGGGGCGTATTTAGTTCAAACACATTTGAATGGGGGGGGGGTTAATAGAGACGGGAGGCTTACTTGAGAGGGGGGCTTATTTAATTTAGCAAAGACAACTGTGTCTGCAGTTCTCCATAAAGAACTAGCATAAAAAGAGGCAAGGCTCAAGTACAAAGAGTTGGAGATCATGCAGCCGGGGATCAAAAACAAATCGAAACTTCTATTGATCAGTCCTCGCGAAGTTTTACAGTCGTGATAGATTGATACAGCTATCATTAGTGAATAATGATAGTGGGAGGAGAGGGAGGGGACTTATTAAATGTTCTTCCCATGAAAAGGGGGGCTTATTAGAGAGAAGGGGCTTACTTGAGAGATGAAGAGAGGGCTTAATAGAAGATTTACGGAAATCATCCACTCTCTTAAGCGTTATGTTGAGAGAGGGCTGCACCACCTAGCCTGCGAGAGCAGAAGCCGCTCGGTTCTTGTTTCACCCGCCGATCGCGAGAAAAGAACTCTTTTCTGCACATAAATGGGTCATATCAACTAACCTGGTGCGTATAATTTCCGCGGGAAGTTTCAGTGTTCCGCACATGACTTCTTTGTAGTAAGTCTTAGTCATATCATATGTCAGAGGCCTAATGGCTGCTATCAGCCCAACTATAACCACAGGAAAACCTGGAAACAGTTACAGATTAAAAGCTGGCTTTTTGCATCTTGAATAGTCCCAGGTGACTGGGGCAATACTAACACTTTGCAGTAAGAGATTTATGAAAGGAGGGAGGTGCTTACGTTCGCAAAAGTTGGATGATATAAAAATCACGGAATTTAAACTTTACATGAAGCCGCGACAGTAGTAGAACAGGCGAAGGAAGTGGGAGAGTATAAGGTATTCGTGCTGCATGTATTTGGGTTCGAAAATTATTTTATCAATAACTAGCCAGGATTAATGAAGGCAATCGCAGCTGACTCGCGTTTTGTATTTGGGAAAAAAGAGAAAATCTTTTATCTATTAAGAGCCTAGTAAAAAATAACTAATCACGAGATAAACTGGCCTGTCCATTCAATCAAACTCGTCACCAGGATGCTTCTCTCGTCACGAAGTGAAACTAGCGAGTGAAAGATCTTCTTAGGGACGGATGTCACGAAGTTGCCCATAACCTTTCGATAACCGCGGTGAACGCGCACACCTCAATATCCCTCTTTCGGTATATCAGAATTTTAATATGACTCGAGGTCTGGTCAGCTCTGGTCTTATTTCTGTATTTGGTTTGGTTTTCATTGTGTTCAAGTCTCTTCTGAGAAACGATTGTTGGTTTTCACATGACGTCACTGATGTTCAAACTACACAACTATCGATCCTACTGAGAATTTACTTTCATGATGTATTACAACAGCTGAAAACTAATGTTCATACAAATTTTCCCTTCAAAAGCGTTCTTGGTTTTGTGTTAGAGTACGCTTGAATTTCTAAGCTTTTGCGTGACGCGGCTTTTACGTGACGGCCGAGAGAGCTGTCATGTAGGTTAAAAAAGTGAGTTATTTCGGGGAATTTTGCTATTTAAACTGTTAATGTATTAGAAAAAGCATTACTTGACTGTTTATGAGTTCCTCAAGGGAAAAATTCACGCTTTTGTAGTAAAACTCGGTAACAGATGTTTCTGTTGGTTTCCTTCCGCCATCTTGGTGCCCGTCCAGCATGGCGTCTCCATACAAATTCCTATAAATTTGGGTGAAACATTTCTTCGGATATATCTTGTATACGAAATATTCCTCTAAACCGAATCTTGGCGATGGTCTTTGCATATTTGCCTCCTTTCATTTCCCAGATTCTGGCCTTAAACTATTAAACAGTTTTAATTTTAATTTCTCTTGAACGGCGTGGCACTGAAAACTAGCAATAGGATCGAGAAAAATTAACAGTTTGTACGTAAAAGTGTCATGTTAGAATTTTAATCTATCGAACGTTGGCTATTGAGCAGGAGGAAGCCTGGAAGCTAGGTTGCAGGTGTGTTTTGAGAAGTAAGAAATTTTGACATGATTACCCCAGCCGATGATGACGTATGTGATGTAAAGCTTCCGGACCGAGAATACTTTCACCAGTTTGACGTAAAGATGAATTCCTTCCACCAGCATCCACGTAAATATGGTGGTATGCGAAAAATGCTGAAAAACTGCCATAAATGAACATAATTTCTGTAAGAAAGAAAATACATGCATTCGTTAACAGTAAACTGCCCTGAACTTAACAGCGCAAGGTACAAAACTCAGCTAAAATATAGACTGTTAGTTGCTGCGTCATTGGAAATAGAGTGATCGTGCAATTGTAATGGTAGGTTTTGTGCGTTAGCCTAGGCGGTTAGCAGGCTGGTTGCTATTTGTTGTGCTAGCTCCTGATCAGAATGTTGAACAGTGCGATATTGTTAAAAGACGCACTTTTTTGAGAGTCTTATGTCAGTTTATCAGGAAAGTACTAATTGAGGACACTATTTTTACGTCTCCTACTGGAGACGGGACCGCCATTTTACGTAGTCATCTGAGCCACGCGAAAGTCTTGCCGTTTGCAGTAGAGCATAGGCAGTACCTTCATTTCTTAGTTCACTGATGAGTATAGGTCCATGGAGATCGAACCTGTGACCTACCGCTCTGCAGTTAAGTACTCTATCGACGGAGCTCGTCCTGCTGCGCTGGTAAAGTGGCCATTCAACCAAGTATAACGATAATATATATGGGCGGATGGGCTAATTATTTCCATACAACTAATGCCGACTAACGAAGTCAATCGTTCAACAATGTTGGGTTTGTTTTCTAAACATTCAACAAGCTGCAACATCTCTCACCGTTTTTTCTTTTCTTTTTTTTGAGCAACAAATGCTGAAAGTTATTAAGCAGTGTTTTAGCGGTGTAAGTCAAGAAAATTTTTGAGAAATTGTAAATGCCAAGACTAGGAATGTGTTCGAATAACCTGAAATACTTGCAAAATAAGACATCACGCGTCTTTACCACATTCGAGGATTTTAAAATGTCTAGAACATTTTTATTTTTACATTTTACATTTCTTATACGTGCGTCGAATGTGGTAAAGACGTGATGTCTTATTTTGCAAGTAGTTCAAGTCAAGAAAACAAATAGTACTTTAAGACATGAAGAATGAAAACAGGCAAAAAATTACCTTTTAAGAAAAGTAACATGCAATAAGCTTGAAGATGTAAGCCACGATATTTTTAAAGACATTGATTTGAGGAAAACAATGCTAGCCCTCTGGCCTCGCGTAGCCACAGCTGTTAAATCAAGATGCAAATACATGCGCTTTCAATCACTTTTTTTCTATGCTTCCCATCATATGGACGGTTTCATGACTATTATATCAAATAATAATAGCGGTAATAACACGAAAAAGAATAAAAGAATTACCGGGTTTTGCTTCCTGTTTGTGAAGACAAAAGTGTCGAAGATCATCACGATATAAACCAAGCACAGGGAAAGTAAAAGATTCTTGTGCACAAATATCCTTTCGGAGTTTCTTATTCTGTTAAAACAATCAAATCATCCGCCATTTTTAAACCAATATCAAATCAGTTACTCAGTTGATGCAAAAGAGTAACTAGCGGCGCTGTATTTTTACGGCCCTGATTTTATTTTATCTATACTGCATTACAAGTTTACCACCGTTAGCACCTTTTCAGTTGCTCCATTTTTAGCTTCGGGCATTCAATATCGATGAATCAGTTTTAAACTTATAATTATAATGTCATAACTGAGTATATCGTTGCTTTTTCGAGGTCTTGTTCGGATATTTGATCACAGCTCAACTTAGCAACCATGCATTTCAGGTTTATATAGAAATTCACTGGCAAGTGCATGTTCAAAGCTAAAGCTCTTCTTAAGACTTGTTGTATATACATATGTACAACATCTAAGACTCCTTGTCTATACATCCTTTGGGTCTTAAGAAATAAGATGACATTGTCTCTGGACTTTATTCATTAATTACTCAGTGATGAGCCACCCCACCTGAAGGAATCCGCATTAAGGAATTTGGGAAACTTTTTTGTGGAATTCAGATACGAAATCCTGGGCTTTGGAACCGAAATACAGCTCATGGAATCCTGAATTTCACTAAGTTTTAAGTTCCGCTTAAAAGGAATCCGGAATTGAGTACCTGGAACTGACCGGAATCCAAGCCAAGACTGTCTTGGATTCCCTTACATGCGGAGAATGATCTTTTGAAATTGCTGAGAGGCAAAGTGACAAGTCTTACCTTAAAAACGAGAGAGCAATCAGTGAAATTATGACAGCCATGATGGAGATAGTGCTCAGTACCAGGTCTAGGTAACCTCTGATTAAGGCTTTTCTATGCTTTTGCTCGTCCATTATTTCTTTACTTTTGATCTGCAAAGTTCCATTTTCCTAAAAAGAAAGATAACGTGTGTGGTCCTCCGTAGAATTTTAGAGATTATCGTGATTATTTGCCTTAAACGCCGATTTGCATGAAATTGAACAACTCCGCGAAAGCTCCGCAATAACATGAGAACCTTACCCATGCGCAAAGCAACATCACCCAAGCCATTATTATTTCAGTCAATCGCAAACTAAGAGTTTATGTTCGGAAGTGAGGGAAATAGATAGTGGCGTGGCTGCCATCAACAGTCGGCAGACAGAGAATAATCATCAAAGTAGAACAGAGGAACTGGAGAACAAGTAACTGGAGATGCATTATGTCAAATTTCGTTCACTTTTCTGCTGTTACATCTTATCAAGTAACTAATTTGTTTAGTCATTTTCATCCTGATATAGTGGTATACGTGGCGAAATATGTTTTTTCCCCTTTTTGGAATTTTTGCCACCCGCCTCAGTTCTCGAATGTGTGTAGATTAGTGTCGATTTCATCTTTGGTGCTTGAGTTCGTACCCCAGATATTTTAATTATGAAACGGTGGGGGATGCTCGTGGTCTAGTTGGAAGGTGGGAGTGGGGGGGGGGTATGAAACTTACAGATTTAGGTATCATCCAGGGTGTTCAAGGAACACCAGTTAGTTTGCTTCAGTTTGCTTCATCCATAATATCACGAACTGTCGCACTACAATCGCATGACGTGACATGGCGTTGTGTGTGCAGCGGTAATGTGAGAGAACAATAAATCGCAAATGTCATTTGCAACCGATATAACTTACGTTATATTCCAACCAAGAGCAATTTGCACTCTCAAGACCAAGAGGAACATGGCTTTCATTCACCTGGTAAGTGAATAAAAGACAACATCGGTTGCTGTAAAGTAATCAGTTTTGATGCTTTGAGATATGAACTTGAAAAAATATTTTTCGTTAAGTTGACAACAAAAAATTACTCATAACCAAATTTCCGTTTTTATATTTTTCAGCTAAGGGAGCTTTGCAACGACAAAGCCGACGGAAGCAAGAATGTGACATTTAAATTGACTTCGCGGTTTTGAAACTTTTTTGCCATTCGTTTAATTCAACCCACTCGTAAATGTTAAATGGAAGTTATGATCTTTCTGAGTTGAACTCTTGGGGACCGTTTTCTCGTCTTTCTCGTTGCTGTCTCCGTTGGCTGTGTTAAAGGTCCCTAATAAGACCCTCTAATAACTCTAGTTATACTTTCCCTTTTAGTTTTTATTTAGTTATTTATTTATTATCACAAGAAATAACACAAAACAATACAAGTAAATGTCAAATGCACAGAAATTATTATTCTACATTATTTGCTATCCACCGCATCTTTCATTAAGAAAAGAATAAATTAGAAAAAAATAATACTGAAAATTTTAGTGATCATAATACTAAAACAATAAAACAAAAACTACAGCAACAACACACGTCGCAAATGGGTACTAACGGAGATGTTGAAAGGTGTTTTCAACGGTCGTACTATTATTGTTGACAAAAGCTATTTCTTTCTGAGTACTCAACTTTTCCCAAAGAAGTACAGTGAGAAACCTGTCAAGTGAGATCTTTTCTTCGCTTAGGCAGCTGGAGTATATCGAGAATTTTGCAATTAGAAAGAAGTCTGTAATTTATGGAATATTTGTGTTGTGTATTATTGAAAACCCCGTACAGAATCTTACTGTCTGATAATGTCAGGGTTTGCCCAGTTTTATTGGCCCACCAAATTTGAAATGTCCTCGAAAAGGCAACCACGGAAGGGCAGCGCACGGACATGTAATCTAAGGAGTGTGTTTTGTTTAGACTTTGAGGGCATACAATATAGTCACAAATTTTGGCTCTAAAAGGGCTTGCTTTAGTAGCTAGTACATTGTGACATATTTTGTACTACCTCATATTCACATTCACATTCTTGTTATTTTGATGTCATTTTAATTTGAAAAGGTAATTCGTACACTTTATAAATGCTGTCGTGAGAAAAACCAAACTGAAGATCTTATTTTCAGCTGTGGGTGGTACAAAGGTTCTCTTCAACACCCGACAGAATGCTTGGCGCAACTTTTGTGGAGATATTTTCTACATTCTCCTCACTCACAGAGCATCGCGAAGGTGAATTTTTAATTACAAGCCTCCAGGAGGATGGTATAGCGTTAATGGGACCGAGATAGAGAGTGAAAGGTGTCTTAAGATCGAATTTTGAGCAAAAGTCCTCTAAAAGAGAGGAATGCGTTTGCGTTTTTATTGAGAAGGTCACTGCATGTAAAATGCTTTTGTCAAACCAGCTTTTGCAAAATAATGGTTTACCGTCGATTAACAAATTTCAATGGGTAGGGTTTCAGTACTCCAAGGACTTTTTGTTATTTGCCATTGTTTCAATATTTCTACGTACTGAGGGATGGAAAATTGTCGACATTTAATGTGTCAGTGCCATAGTTACTTTTTACCAGAAAACTAGACAGAGGGTCTCAATGGGATTAACCGATAGGCGTAAAAATTGAAAAATTTTAACCGTTAGCCGTAAATAGGGTAAAAAAGAGTTAACCGTAAAAGAAATTGTTCCCTAGATTTGCGACTAGTGTGACTCCGTACGCACGTTAGGCGAAGCGCCTTTTAGGTGTTAATCAAGACCTAGGCTCCATTTCCGGCGCTCTCTCGAGAAACTAATTTTTTCCATAGCGAAGATGTGGCTTCTTGCTGGGAATTAGTATTTGCAATTTTCAGGAGTTCGTACCCTCGAAACACCTCCAACAACAACACGCAACAACAACACGCAGATATGTCACTGTTTATAAAACACGTTGCCGATAAACAACATTTCCCTGTTTTTCTCTGACGCTACGGTAGGCATTGCCATGCTTAGTCCCTGTACGACGTCTTCCCACGCAATCTCGGTCAAGGCATTTCGGTGGCGAACTGGCTCAGACTACGTGACCCGAAACGCATTAGCCACGCGTAAAAATGCAATGATGCGGCCTACAGACAAGGCAACGGCAGACAGTCGTTCCGTAGAGTCCCTCGCTATCATTAAAAACACTGGACACGGGAAAATTGTTATTGGCCGTTTTCACACTAGAGCTAGAAACGGATCATCCGTCTGAGACTAGCCTGTGTACAGTCGCGCCCTCCCCACAGACACCCCTTCTCTGATTTTTTCTAGGGGGAGGAGGCGGCTGTACAGAGGCTATATGGAACGGATAATCCCGTCTTCCAAAGTCAGGCGGATTGTTTACTCAAAATTAAAACTATTCGATTTTCAAATTAAGACGTATTACCTATCCGATGCGAATCATCAAACAGATAACCCGTCTCACAACAATAATCCTTCTCTAGTGTGAAAACGGCCATGTCTGTTATAATGAATGTCGCGCCCCGGCCTTGAGTTGGGCGTTCGCGTGTCTGCTTTTGCTTTTTCACAAAGATTATTTTTAAATTGACTATTGACATTTCTATGAGTAAAATAATATTAGAAGTGGAATACTTTACTTATAAAAAGTATGATCTATCAAATGTTAAAATTTTTCAAAAGAATAGCTTATTTCATCCCGAGATGATCTGAAGACCTTTATTTTGATTTAAAGATACCAAAAAATACGGGTTAATAAATATTTAACTTTTTGAAACAAAAGAAGTTAATTTTTAACTTTTTCGTTAACCGTAACTGAAAAAAGTTAACTGATAGCCGTAAAATAGCCAAAATTTTAGCCGATAACTGTATCAGCCACCACCCCATTGAGACCTTCTAGACAGTCCTCCATGCGTCTCTAGGGCTGCACCAGGAATGATTTTTCAAGAACCTTCATTTGCCGATTGTAACCACGATATCCAAGTTACCTCTAAAGCTTTGTTCCACGCTAGAACTTTTATATCAATTTGACTTTTCATTTAGAATTTTAAAAAAGCGGGTATTTTTTTATGGCTCTTGTAGAGGATTATAAAATGGCACATCAAATTTGACAGTTTTCTCATTAACAGGTGACAGTGAGGTGGCAGAACTAAGGTATTGAAATTTGCCTTTAGGGGCTTGATTTTATTAATATTCAATTTGATAGCAATTGAAGAACGTGTGCAGAAAACGAAATAAAACAAAATCTAAATATGCCAACTGTAAATAAACTGAAAAAAACAACAACAACTATAAAAGGTCTAAAAAGACCAAAAAGCCAAGGAAACATTATTAATCGCCGCTGACAGGCTTATATTTCAAAGCAACAGCGCCTCATCACCAGCCTCACTTTACCTTCTAATGAAACGTTAACATTTCAAATGGAAAAAAAAAATGTTCCTAAATTGTAAGTTCACCAGTTTTACTCATCCTTAGTATTGTAGCCCGGGGAGATGTCGAATAACACACATATGGTGGACATGCGTAGTTTAAAATTAAACTCACGATTTTCGTGTCGTTTCTTGGTATAAGAGAAGGAGATCCAGAGGTTCTTGTTCGAGCAGAAAGTTGACTGGGGTCAATCTTCAGCCTTAGAACCGGATGGAACCATAGTTGAGTAATACCTGTGTTAAGTTCACTGTAGAATGGTGAGACAACATCGGACGTTGTTTTGTGTTCAAACACCCTAATGAAATTCAAAAATAAAACACAGTCGAATGGCTTTGTTCAATGGCCACTGACAAGCCAGGGGCACCCAACGAGAATATAATTCAAAACCACTTAAACATTGTTAAACGTATTTTAATGTTTAAACAGTTAGATATAGGTATTTTTTATCCCCTAAAAATTTTTCATCTGTTGGGATTTCCTAGCTGAAAGTCTAGTGATCCGAAAACTATAGGGATCAAAACTTACCTTTTCGAAAATTTCAGCCAGAAAAAAGGCTCCCGAAAATTTTAGGGTAAAAAAAATGGGCAATTATACTATTTTTTAGGTGTTCGAAAATCCTAGGAGAGGCAGGCAAGAAAGAAATTTTACAACAAATGTTCCGAAAATTGTAGATCTCAGATCGTCTTCCGAAAAGATATTTTCCGAAAGTTGACGTTGGGTGCCCCTGACAAGCAAGGGCATCATGTTCGTAGTAGCAGTTGTGTAGAGGAAGGCCTGGGGAATATATGTCAATTGAGTGCGTAAGCCGCGAAGCACTTTGCAGTGAAAGTAAATGTGAATTGTGTTATATTGTGAGCGCTGAGAGAAACCGTCTATATTTCTTTCTGAACTACAAGTTCCGGAAAGAAAAATTTAATAGATGAATTAGGAATCAAAGGAGACGTCTTTGACTCCGGCAGGGGATTGAACTCATGGACCTCAGAATTAGTCTGAGCTGCCTGATCTATAACTGACTGAGCCACCAGATCAATCGGGAGTCTAACGTGACTAACATGTCGGAAATTTTAATAAAACAAAAAAAGCGTTGACTAAAGACTTGTTGTTGTCATGTACATGTGCCTAAATTAAAACGAACCGCGATCCCATCGAGCAGTCCATTTTGCGTAAACTTACATTTCTCCCGTTCACGGTTTTTGTCAGAAAATTCCGCTATTAATTTCGTCCTCGGATAGCGGTGAGCGCCGTTTACCCAATCAGCCTTGTTTCGAGGAAAATAGAGCGATTTTCGTATGTCCTTGAAAAATGGTTTCGGTAAGTGTTCGTTAGTTGTTTTGTCAGCCAATGGTTGAAAAGAACAAAACATGGACTCTTCGTTTTCCCGCCAAAGAAAACCCTAATATGGAGAAGGCATTGTTCGATTGACCAATCGTGTTGCAGTATGACGTCAAAGCGATTTCTAGAAAGTTCTTCGGGCATGAAGTTTTTTTAGCCGAGCGTTCGCTTAACCAACCAAAAGCCAGGTGCGTTTGTATCCGTTCGATAAACCAATCAAATCGCTCTATTTCCGTTCTTTTGTTGTTTCTGTTTTGTTCGCGCGTTTTCATTTCAAGGTCATACGAAAATCGTTCTATACCATCGATCAACCTCGTTTTCAATCAAATATACCATCGAATAGAATGGATGGCATATTGCTCGCATCTTCCAAATATCGTACGCGCCCGTTGGTTAATGAAGAATTAGCCGGGGATTGGAGCCAATCGGAAACAGCGAAATATTTGAATGATTAATAATTTTAATTACTATTCATTCAAAATATTTTTCCCAGTTCTGATTGGTTAAGAGCACTCGCATAATTCACCATAACCAGCTGCTGATGACCAAATTTGGAGGAATTTAGCGTTTAATGAACCGATGACGTCAAAAGTGCAGCTTTCTTGCAGGTTAATGCACCGTTAACCGAGAAGACCTGGGGAGGAGGTTGAGTTGTTTTGGTTCTGAAAACAAAAATGGAGGACATCTCACGCGTTTCAAGAGTAAGAACTAGGCGAAATAATAGCTTAAAACATGGCAAGAACAGCAAGAAGACAACTCGAAGGGCGACATCTGCTATTTGGAGAATATTTGTAGAGCTGAACAACCCTAAACGTTTATTGTCATTGAAGAAAAACTTAACGTCGATGGGTCGATGGAGATAAGCATGTTTTAGCCAAATGTTTTTAAACTAGGAATTATTTTGAATGAATAATAAAACAATTATTGAATTCGGCTTTCGTATCATATGAAGAATTATGGAGATCTCGGAGGGTGTTATCCGCCTCGGCCGATAATACCCTCCTCGATCTCCATAATTCTTCATAAGATACTCAGCCTCATACATTAATTGTTAAATAATCGTTATTAGATAGCAGTTAAGCGAAGGCGTTTTTGAGCGACGTCAACCGAAAGTGAGGGCTTTTCCCTTATAAGGTGCCTTGACGCTATCAAATTTGTATTGTTGTGTGTCTTTAACTCTTAAAGAGACAATTTGCGCGAAAATTTGGGCAAAACCAAGGCACAAGAATGAAAAAAAACTTTACAAGCCTCGTATGCATCAAGCAAGGTGAAAAACGAAAGCGATGCCTTCCGCGTAAATCGGATTTCCCATGTCTTTGACAAGCGGCGCATTTCTCAACAAAAACGACCCATTAAACAAACCAGCCATGAATAACAGAAGAATCTTGGTAGCAGCTGTGTTTCATTTTGTAGATCCAGTGAAAAAAGGCAGTTTTAAAAACACATTGCAAGATGACACAAAAATCTCTCAGCATCGATTATCACCTTGAGCTATCAGTAAACAAGTTTCCAGATGCTGCATTAATTTTCCGCATGAACTCACCAGTCAAATTTTGACCAATCAGAGCATAAAAATTGAACGTAGCTAGAGCGTTGCGAACGCGTGACCTTGGTAGAAAAGTCAAAAGCAACTGCTTTCCTTGCCTCTAAAAGCTGGCTGAATTTTCGCGTCCGAGGTCAGTTTGAAATCAAAATTTTAATAACGCGGCTCATAAACACAACTTATTTCCCATGCATTTTAAAAAAAATTGAACTTGAGCCTTTGATCATTTGAAAACTTTTAACTTGTCAGCGGATAACTTAAAAATACTCGACCTCGAGGGGTAGATGCCTAAGCCTGCAAAACGGTCAGGTGATACTGGTCAGCGGATATCCTGTTTTGATAATATGAATGTGCAATCTGTGCAATTATCAGGTTGCACCTTGAAACATTTGTTTCCCCGTGGTGCGGACAGACGGGCGGGCGGTGTACGGTCACGTGATTACCAACTTTTCTCCGATGGGTAGATTGTCTTACTGCGCTCATAATTTAGTCACATATTTTTAAAGGTAGAAGGTGGTCCTTTTCATAAGCCTTATTGGCTTCCATGGGCTCCCTTGCTTCTTCTCTCTGAAAATAGTGTATGTATTTAATTTAATGGTGGCAAAATAACAATTAATGTTATAAATAAATAATAGATAACATAAACCAGAAGCATATAACCCTGGATAGAAGTATATTTACCAGGGGGGTAACATAAGGCGGCTGCAAAACTCCAAAGTTTGGGTTAAGTTTGGGGCTTGACGACAAAACTTCAAAACCCTGATTTGAAGAAAGCGGCGTTCCCCAAACCCCTAGGTAAAAACAGAAAACAGAGGCTAATTAGATTGTTTTGTAGTCTTTAGAAGCTCCACACACTGAAACGCTTTTTGTTTGACATTGAAATCATACGCAAGAAAAAAAGAACAACAAGTGAGCGAGAATTTAGGAATTTGATTGGTGAGCGAACAGACTCAAATGACGAACGCTTACGCATACCATTTCACTCATTGAACGTTATTTCACTGAGCAGTATTTCGGTAATTGAAAATGGCTCTGACTAAATTTATATTATTTTTTTCTATGTAGCCTGGCTTTAGAGCTAAGTCGGTTCTTAAAATATCTAACATATGAATATAAACCGCGCTGGCTACTCAGCCTCGAACATCCTCTCTTGCCGCGAACCATCACTGAGGGATTTGAAAAGATAACAAAACAAATGTCTGGCACCCAAGGTAAGATTTTTTTTTTCATTATTATCATTTAGTTTATCATTGCTTTCTCTATTTTTGTATTTTGAAAATAAAAATGTTGAAGCTTACCACTTCTTGTGGACAAAAGGACTCCGGAAGTGGCTTGAAAATGCGTTGCTCCTCAGCTGTAAAGAGCATTATCTAAAGAGAAGACATAAAGTATGATAATGGAAAAATAATAAAAAAAAGCACGAAGTATAAGTTAAATGAGGCACACGTTTTACATCCCCCTACCGACAAGATCGATATGTGGTAATCCGAACCACTGGAAGGACTATAGTGACCTTTTTCAGGGTAAAGGTGGTGCCTCCTTAATTTATTTTAGAGCTGTCTGGCCCTGGAGAATCGATTCCGCGGTTTCCCGCTCTCTGCCGCTGATCAATGCTGATCAGAGTGTAAGCGCGGACAACACAGTTGGAATTTTGCTTTCTCAGTGTTAGTTCGTTTTGGCCTGGTCGGTATGGGTCAGAGTTTCTTATTTGCATTAAGGAAAGAAAAATGTTTTAAAATAGTTTAAATTATAATTTGAAAAACGAAGTTTGTAATAAAGAGGAATTCCATCAAGCGAGAAAGTGCAACTTGACTGTTCGATATGGAGTAAAGGATTCCTATCTAGGAACCTTCTTTTTACCTGTCTGCAAGAAAAAACCTCGTCATTAAAGCTAAGAGAATTTGCTTAGATACTTGGCCTCCCTTTTTAAAGAAGAAGCAGTGGTAAAATATTCTTCTTTCATCAGCCGGAGAACTTTATCATTTTAAAATCTTTATTGCCCAGCCTTAAACAAACAAATTATATTGTTCGAATGGACTAAACGTTCCGGTGTGGTTTCTTATTCCTTTAACTAACCTTGGAGAAGTTCAGTGCCACCATGTCATTACGTTGGTTAATTGGGCTTAATATTCGCACTCCAGTTTTAAAGAAATCTTGAAGATAACTAAAGAATTTCCGTTTATTTGTAAAGTTGTTAGCTTCCTTTTTCAGGTCTCCGGTCAAATCCACCAAGTTCGTTACATTGGCTGAAGATAACTAAAAGTAAAAATAAAAACACTTGGTTGGTTGCAGATTTATAAATGTTGTTGTTTTGCATGGATATAAAGCTTAAACGAAAGGCGGAGCTATAGCGAAGGCGGCTACGGAATGGCCTTAATTTGTACAACTTTCAAACACTGTACACAACCGCCCCCACTCCTCAGGGAGGAAGCGGTTTCTAGGGCTTGCAGGATCAGTCGCATTATAGGGCGCAGCTTTTAATCTGTCTTTTACGAAGCTCAAAACTGTAAATCTGATCGATGCATTCCGTACTTGGTTTCTCCTTCTGACTTTTTTTAACTAAGAGTTTAGCTTTTGCTTATGAAGGAGAACAGTTTACCTTCAATCGGACTGCATGAAGAATAGTTTGTCTTTCGCAGTCACAACTTTCCTTATGTTTCCAGCTTGTAGCACCATTGGTTTCTGTACATAGTGCACTAAATTGACCTACAAAACATTCGCAAAAAAACAAACAAATACGGAGAGATGCATGAAAACAATAATAGAGGAACCGTATTGATGACACCAGCCTAGAAAAATCAGGAACGATTTCAAGGAAAGGGGAGAGACGTGTTTACCTTCAAGATTTGATTCCACCTTTGAACAGTTTCTATAAACAACAGTGCCGACCGCGGTTCTGTTCCACTTTAGGTTAAACGTCGTTTGAGATGGGCAAAAATCTGTCCAGTAGAAAGAGAGGAGGATTTTCAGATTGCAGATTCCCTATCTCTCATCCCCTAGACATCGCCGGTAAAAACGAAGAGAAAGAGGGCGTGCTTGTCAGGTACCCTGGGCTCCATTGCGTGAGATTAACTTCAAATGTGAGCGCACAAGATATCTCGTAATAAATATACGACATCCAATTTGGTATGTGACCCATCAAATCAGATGGAAGGATACCAAATCGAAAGCAGGATGAACTTGTCGGATATTCAACCTTCGATTTGTCAACTACGTGATTTCCCCTGGTTAAAATGACTGCGAAGAACATCAAATCAGACGCAGGATGTAAACTAATATTCGACCACGAGGTATACCTTCTCTAATACTTCATTTTGAGAGATGAGAAGTCACCCGTTGTGTTCATTATAAAAGCCTATGCGCGTTTACTTACAATGGATACAGCCTTTTTCATCTGACTTGTCATTACATTCGTCTATTTTATTACACCTGTCATTTAGGGACCTTATTTCATCTCCACTTTCACAGAGGAACAACTCTTCAGAAATATGCTCAATGTCTTGTATTCCTGGAGGGGTAAAAACATTTTTTTAAAAAAATCATTACCGCGTTTTTCCTCTCATGTGTCTTGCACAGTGGTGACGGTAGCGCGGCAGAGCGTGTTTTTTACATAGATAGCGATGTTAACTAAACAGTATTTATGTGTGTCTGTGATCAACCATGTCTTTGGAGTCGAAAGGAGTGCCTGCCTTAGTACAATCACAGCAACTGTCAGTGCCAAGTCACATTTTGCGTATTAGTATGAGAAAGAGTTTGGAAATTTAAAAAGAAATGATCAACTGAAAGTTAAGTAGTGCCAGTGGAATGAATACTCTGCGTCCTCGTTTGAAAACGCATACATTTCGATGTGTTCAGGCCTCCTGTTCACACTAATTCGCTGAGAGTTTTCATCGGAATCGCATCGATTTGAAAACGCTCTGGCAAGTGGATAAAAACAAAAATGCAGCTTGTTAGTATGGACATATCGTATCATTTCGGACGGGTCGAAAACGGTAAAAAAAAAAAACGAAAATGAATACGATGACCGAAAATATCGCAGGAGCGTGTGTTTGTAGCATTCGCATAGCGTACAACTTACGCCACAACGTGCAATTCTATCATTTTCGAACGTGTTAGTGTGGACAGTCGGAAAAGCATCGAAACGGTAGTGTGGACGCGAATTGATAGATGCGTTTTCGATGACAACGAAAACGCATACGACCGCACACTTTTGAAAACGCGCTTTTACTAGTAGGCTCTGCTTCGCTCCGGTTTAGAAATTTCATCCTGTGTCAAGTGGAATCTAATGCAAACCGGCTACCCAGTAAGAGCACATAAAAAAGTACAAACCTTTGAAAGCGCCAGTGCAGACTATTTTATTGGTTTCTAAGTAACAACCAGGCCTCACTCTTTGTCCAGAGAAACAGAAGAAGTCGACGCCATTGTCAGTCCAACTATGGCCATCAAATAATACCTTATTCTTCCATCTGCAAGCTTCAGAGAAAAGACACAAAGAAAGATGAAGACTTTGAGAGTGGGAACAAATTTAAGAGGTCACATCTCAAGGTGCTAACACCACACCACAAACGAATCTAAGGCATTATCAGAGTTAGACTCGTGATTGTCATGATTTGCTAATTGGTGTCAGGAAAGAAAACAAATTTACTCTGGCAATAGCCATTTCCGGAAAACTTGCGCTGAAAGTGTTACATTGAGACGAGTGGTAATCTACAATGTGACTTACAGACTTTTTAACTGTCAAACTGATTTCTCATTTTTAGCTTTAATATTAAAAAAAATAAAAACGTTTATGGCACTTTTGCAACAATCAATAGCTATGCTGATGTACAAACGATATAGTAGGGCCTTGACGGCAAGAAAATAAATTATCATTTTAAATGACGTATACATACGCTTTTGTTTTCCTTCTCAGGGGCGTAGCGTGAGATTTGGAAGGTGTTCTCACCGGAAGAAAAGTTAGAACGCCGAAGGCATACCCCAGCTTCCACCAGAAAATTTGTTAAAAGGGTCCCAGAATTGCCTTTTTCTTGTGTTTTCCCCAGGACATTTTCAGTAGATAAATAAGAATTTAGAAGGAAAAGGCTGCAGCACATTTTTTCGTCCGTTTAAGGAATAGTAAAAGAATAAAGAATAAAACCGTAATCAGTCATCCTGATTTCATGATAAAAAATGCTTTTTTTAAGTCAGGAAATAGAAATAGCAAGAGCCGTACCATTATGGCTCTGATCTCAAAAATAGTTATATAATTTTCCAGAGATTAAGCTGTACGCGCGGGCGTATGGGCGTCTATGGAAGCTATGCTCCTGCTTCTTACAGGACTAATTGAACTGCTCTGATCACCGAGGAAGTAAGAGTGAAAAATTAAACATCATTAAGTTGAGAGACCTCAAAAGTTTTAATCGTTCAATAAGCAAAATTCTGAGTCCAAGAGGGCCTAGAAAAGTACTTACCTTTACAAATTCCTCTGTTTGATTTTACAAAAGCCACCACATTGCACTGTGGTTGACTACAGTTTTGGACGATTGCATCATTAGATGTTAAGAAAGACACGTGTTGTTCACATGATATGATTCCCTTGTAGCACTTGCACGTGATACAGTCGCCAACAGGCCACTGGGTTCCTTCAAAGTACGTGTTGGCGTTCTCATCTTGACAAGAGACATCTAAAAAGGCAAAAAGAGCAATCCATAGCAATTCATAGACTGTCGCACTAGCCAAAGCTTTATGTTATCGGCAATCCATCAATGTCGAAGCAATGCTCCCAGTCAAACAAATATTTTGCAAATGACGTTCAGCTTAGAAATTACGACTCAAGTTCCTAAAATGAAGTTTGCAGATTGTACGTTAAGCTTCATTTACATGTACACACTAATTAGGCCACCAAAGATTACTGTGCCAATCCCAGACCCTTAACATTTACGGCTAAAATATGGCTTCCGTTTGAGGCAATGAGAACATAAATCTGCTTTTGTTAATTTTGTCTGCAAGAAACAAACAAAGCCTGTGCTGTGTGTCTTAATACACTATAATCAACTTACTTGTTTTGCAGAGGTCGTGAGGCTGAAGACAGTTTGGTTCGGGAGTGACACATGCAACGCCAGATGCCACGGCGTGAAGGCCCCCGGGACACAACTGTGGCATCCCTCTCATCTGTCTGGTAAGTTCAGCAAGCGCTACGAGGAAATCAACAGCGCGAAAATGTCGCTATAATGTCATGAAAAGCACTGTAAAACTAGCAAAAATCATTGTTTCAGAGATGTCTGACAGTATTTTGCAAATTGGCCATTTTTTGTGAATTCAAGACCTCCGGAAGCAATTCGAAAAGTCTGCATGCAAGTGCTATTTTTATGTCGTTTATTACCTGATATTTTCACATTTCTTTTTCTTCAGATATAGAACCCTGCAATTCGTGCTGACTCTTTGTTCCTAAATTTAAACGTTGTTCCCTCCAAGGTTCATTATACTTAAAAGCTTTCCAATTCGTAAGGATATTTGACACAGCTCCTTTCCAGACAAGCCGCCGGAGAATTTGGTCAAAACAAATCGAAACACCCCTCGGTCTGTAACAGAGCCAGTGGAATCTATATCTTTACCGGGTTCTCGGAGAAAAAATTTTCCACGTCCCAGTAAAATCAATTTTGAAAACATCTGTTCGGAAGACGATTTGAAATTAGAATTTTCGGAACATTTGTTGTAAAATTTCTTGCTTGCCTGGGATTTTCGAACATCTTGGTATATTTCATTTTGTAAAAAGGTACCTAGAATTTTATGGCTGAAATTTTCTAAAAGGTAAGTTTTGATCCCTGTAATTCTCGGATCACTAGACTTTCAGCTAAGAAATCCGAACAGATGAAAAATTTTTAGGGGATAAAAATATCCCTATTATATACCGTTTAAATACTAAAATACGTTTAACAATGCTATGTTTAAGTGGTTTTAAACTATATTCTCGTTGGGTGCCCCTGAAGGGGATGGCAGGCGTGACACCTTTACCGGTACGATATCTTTGAATTCCTATTACATATTGCTCAAGCGAGGAGAACTAAAAGATTTACACTTTTTTATGCTAGATCGATTACCTGTACCCTCCGATTTCATTTGTCAATGGTAATAATGTTTTATGGTTTTGCTTTTTTTTAAAAAAATATGAATAACGAAATACACTGGTTTTGTATTGAAGGATCGGTGGATCGAAGGATCTTCAAGTGTTTAACTGTGTATGAGAGAGCAGGATTGGTGTTACCTGTACATTTCACAGCACAGCATATGGCTCCATCGTACAAATCACACGTTGGCCCCAGCATTTTTGGACATCCCTGTGTCTTCCTCGATTTCCTGAATTGAAACTTGCAGCCTTGGAATTCCCAGGTTTCACCTCTAAGAATAATACGCCCTCCCTTGGTGGTTTCAATTCCTACGAAATAATGAATTCATGATCGTTACTAAATGTTGTTTAGTTATAAATCTCAAATACATAGATGAACATAGGTTTATCAACGAAAGCAATAAGAAAGCGACACGCCAGCATGAGTTTCAACTGATATTGCGCAAGATGAAAAAAAAGTTAATTTAGTGTTTTTAAAAGAGGTGTTTTTCGATGCATCTAACGACCATCATAAAGTTATTCCGTTAGTTGACGTCGACCAATTTGCTTTTAATATCTCATTTCTGAGAAATACGTTATTTAGCTGTATTGATTAATTCTGATGTAAAATACGTTTTGAATGATGGATAGATGAATAGTGAAAGAACGAAAGCACGTACAAACGAACGAACGGGCGGACGGACGGACGGATGGATGGATGGATGAATGGATGGATGGATGGATGGATGGAGAAAGGAAGGAAGGAAGGAATCGGGAACAAGATTGAGTAAACGATCGAGCGGATGAGTAATAAATTAAAGATCCCAGAAAAAATGTTACCTTCGCACGTATGTTTTCTTTCTCTAATAAAGTCCACTGTGTTACAAGAAGGCTGTTCACATTTTTCAGTCAGCGGTGCATACGCATACATGCCTGGGAAAAACACCCTCAGTACTCTTTTACATTTCAGTAATCCAGCATCACATCTACACTCAATGCATGCAGTAACCTTAAAAGTAAATTATTCAGTAAATTATCTCTCCCAGGTCAGCTCCGACTGTAAGTATAAGAACATTTCACTTTTTTGCCCTATTTATAGACTTCAAAACGGTTGCGGATTCTTGACCTAGGCAAAAGTACAGAATCTTTTGTACTCTACAGCGATAAACAATTGCATCAAACATTTGGGACAACATCCAGTTCAAAGCAGTGAAAGAGAAACAATTGTAAACCATTTTCTGAAGTCAAACATGGCTGAACAAATAGAGAATAACAGAAAAGAACTATAATTTAGGTTTAAGAAATTTAGTAATTCTTATAAAAGGACGATTTTACCTTCCAAACGTCTTTGAGAACCAAAACCTGACCTTGTTCATCCCTACAGATAACTAAAAAAATGGAAAGAAAAAATACAGACACAAAATATTGCCATATATATATAAGTGTCTTGCAAATAGCCTCTATGGGGGGGTCTTATGCATGTTTTAAAACGCGTGCATTCCGATGCTGAGCGTTTTCGTCGAAAACGCATCGATTTGAAAGCGCTGTTGGAAGTGAATTAAAACGAAAGCGCATAAATATCGTATTATTATGAGCAGTCGAAAACGCATCAAAATGAAAACGATGACCGAAAATATCGCAGGCGCGTGTGTTTGTAGCATGCGCACAGAGTTCTACTTACGTCACAACAAGCAATTCTATCGTTTTCGAACATTTTAGTGAGGACAATCGAAAACGCATCAAAGTGGTAGTGTGGATGAGAATCGCATACTAATCGAAAACTCATACTTTTGAAAACGAATTAGTGTGGACAGGGCAGCTTTTATACAGGTCAGGGTAATCGACTCCTGTCCAGGTGCAACCAACGCTCTCTACTGTTTGTTTGCGGGACTGTTAGAATTCCATGGAGCACAATACTCACCATCCTGGCAATCAGCCTCATCAGACCCATCTAAACATTCGGCGTTTCCATTACAAACATGTTCTTTCTTTATAAAGGCGCCGTTTGTGCATTGAAATAATCCATTTGAATTCTTAAGCTGAAAAAAGACTAAATCATAAAAGACAAATTAGATCGTAAAGTTTAATGTTCAGTTTATTTTACTTTGTGATTTTCCCCTCTTTTTTCCTGGAGAAATTAAACAGCTATGGTTTCGTTCTACTTACGTTCGTCGTTTATCTTCTATACTGATAGGCCATCAATAGACACGATAAAAGACAGCTTGTAACAGTTAATGATGAGTTATTGCCAGCTAACACGTTCTGGCAAACTATAATATTTTAGAATAAACAGTTTCAGGGTTTTCAAGACCGTTATAGCATAGCTCTCTCGCGCGCGAAACGCACGCAGCGAAGCACCATGGGTAAGAAAATTTAGTTGTCTACCCATCCGAGAAAATTTGGTTATGACGTCAGCGTACTGCGTCCTTCCGTACACTCTTTGGGGGTGAGGGAAGGAAATCAGGTGTCCCCCCGTCGCGGGGAGGAGTATGTTATATTTTCTTTGCAGGAAACCGTGCGATGAATTTGTGCAACCCGCGGTTTTTCTTGGCGGGAAATCGCGCAAGAAGTGGTGTGACCATTGTTGTTACGTTAAAGAACTTTTTTATTTTAGGAACTTGTTTTTAAGTATTTCATAACTTAAGTATTTTGTGACCGTGACCGTCGAAAAAATTGTTATGGCAACAAACAATAGCGGATTAAATTCAACGTATTTGCTTATAAGTGAAGAGCGACGGGAAAGAGAAAGAAGAGAAAGGCCGAGAGGGAGAATTATCAGTCGAAGGCCTAGCGAAGAGGATCGCCGAAGAGAAGTGTCTCTGTTGCATCTGGAGAATGTTTACTGATAGCTGAATCCGACATCGTTTTGTACCATCTTACTATGTTTTAACAAAAGAGGATAAATCAACATTCTTTTTGCACTGGATCTACTCAAATACAGCTGTTAACAAGATTCGTTTGTTATTCTTAGTTGGCGTGTTTATTGGGATTGGTTGAGAAATGCGCCTCTTGACAAAAAGTAAGCTTTCAAAAATAAGCTTTTCTTAGTACTTCGCCTTGCCTGATGCGTATATAAAAAGGGTTGAAACTAATCGTCAGCAATTCTGGCCTTACTTGATGGCAATTACGAGCTGCATCGACCGGTAAGCTTGATTAATTACAGTATTGCATTTGATGTTTTCTCTCCTGGTTTCTTATTCATGAAGTTGAACAATGTTTATGCCGTCACTTTACGCGCATTATTTTTTTAAGATTTGAGACAATGATCTAACCTAGTATAGAATTTAAAAAGTCTTTAGACATTTTCTAGCCACGACTAGAAAGGGAACGTTCTGAAGAATATTAAGATTATTACGAACTATTAGGTTGAAGCTTTGCGCGCTATTCTCGCCTCGAGTTCATCTTTAAAAACAGCAACTGAAACACGGAGAAAATCTGTGACGTTTCACTCATGACTCAAACATATCTTCGTGAATAAACATTGTTGTCTTTTTAAATGTTTCATTTAATTATATTATTTTCTTGTCTTGATTGTTTATCAAGATCTCTTTCTTATCGCTTTTACGGTTGTTGTTTTCAGTCGTACATGAACATCGCATACAGGAGAACTCAAAATGCAGCGTGTATCAAATGAAAATGGACTTTAGAAGTAAAATGCACACGAAAATGATTCTGAGACCTTTTACTACTTAGTGTTCATTCAAACATTTGACAGCCTGGTCTGTAAGTTTGGACTCATCTTGGCAAAATTTAGAAGTGGCTAAGCGGACGGGTGATTTTGGAATTTGCATTAAAAATAGATGTTTTCGAAAGTTTTTTTCTCAAAGGCGATTAAAATACCCTGTATAATTGCATAACAGCAGAACGACCTGACTGAACAGTCCCGTCTAATGGTCTAATGGTGAATTGTCTCTATACTTGTAACTTTTTATGTGGTTGTCATTTTTAAAATTTGTTGTGGAAGGGAAGCGCGTGGTTCGATCGTCCTGAAGATTGAATGAGTGTAATTTGTCTTGTAAGCGGATTGTTCTGTAAAGAGTGCAGAAGGTCTGAACATATTAAAATAGACAAACAACGCCTGATAGTTCTGTTTACCTCGGAGCTAATGCAAAAAGGCTGGGGTCAATTTAATAAAACTTTTGCAATTGTAATTTGCAAGTGTAGCTGTTGTTTTGCATTCTGAGATCAATAGCTACACTTGTAAAAGTTTTATTAAATTGACCACTGGTTTACGCGGTACCAGCAACAGATTTGTAAAGTAAACTTGTAGCGTAGCAAAAAAAATCCCGCCTGTTTAAATTTTCATTTTGGCCTTTGCTTTAGACAGAGAGATAAAAAAGAAAAGTTACATATACTGCGTGTAAATTGGCTGCCACCGATCCCGAGGACTATCGTGCCTTGAGAGTATAAAATTATTTATTTCGGGATTGTCCACATACCCTTATAAAATAAACGTGGTGTAGGTGGTCATTTTGCTTGGGAAGAATTTGTTTTACACGCCTAATCTACTGTGATCCAAGGTGATTACTATTTATTGGGTGTAGGACTTTAGATGTTGTTTTATTCTTGCACTGTTTGCAAATTATTTTTTCTCTTAAATCACCCAGCACCACCCCTAAAAGTCATATGGATTAGTGGATTACAACGTTATTGTCTGGAATTAGAAGTTAAATAACTGGAGCGACGCTTTTAGCCCTGGCTAAATCTATATATTACTACTCTATATGTTCACCTAGATGACATTTGATTCCATTCATTGCCAATGAAACAAACCTTTGCAATTGCTAATAGTTCCCTGTCCAGGAGGCTTAATATCAACATTTGGCTGTCGACAGGGTAAACAAATTCCAGCTGTTGTCAACTGGAACAAGCCATATTCAACAGTGACATCATACTTTACGCAGCTGATGACACCATCCGTGCACGAGCAGTTAAAACAAGGTCCGGGAACCAATTAGTGCCATGCTCCTGGCAAGGCCATTTTCATCAGTGCAAGCCGGTCGAGAAAAATTGATGCAGTAAATTTGTTCGTCAGTACAGACACATTTAGTGAGGCTGCTGCTAAGCCATTCCTGCCCATTCCCAAAGGCATTGCCAAGGCTATCCCAGCAACCACTTTGAGTTTTTTACACTCGACTTTAAAGCCAGGCAAACATGTGCAGTTAATGAGTGGGTTTGGGCTCCAAGTCTGATGAACTTCGAAAACATTACCATGTTTGTCTTTACAGCCTGGAAACAAATTTGAGTAAGTCAGTTTTGCGCTTGGTCGCGAGGGCATCCTTCAACATGCTTCTCGATCAATTTTTAAAGGGAAGATTGCAAGAATCCAAATTTAATGACATTCAGTGCTTTATCGTTAGGAGGCGGAAAGAGCGCGATAAAAAAGGGCGAGCGTTTTCAAGAACTGTGCCGAGAACACCTGCGAAATCATTTAAATGTATGTGTTTAAGCACGGGACCTTCATATGACCAAAATCAATTTTGAGCAGTAGTCGAGAAATAGTGGGTTCCTAAGAATTCAAAAATGGTAAAATTGAAACCACAAACTCAGTTGCTTTGTTATCAGCTGTTAATGTTCAATGGACTGAATTCCGACGTCTGTCGCATGATATGGGTTTGGTCAAAACAATCCGCACTTAACGTTTGCTTTTACACCCTTTGACATACCTGTTTTTCCAACTCCACAGTATCGCAAACTGCAAAACGGCTGAGATGCAGGAAATTCACCAAAGTTATACACCATGAAATCACTACAATTCCTGACTCTAACTTCGCTGTACCAGAAGCAGCAGTCATCATTGTTCGTAAAGCAAACCATACGTTCCACCACCCGTTCTTCCACAGTAGGATGTTTGCCGTTTAGCCAACCAGGAGAGAGTGTGCCGCAGTGCAGTTTGGGAACACAGTGTGTTGGCATGACAGCCCCTGCTGGGCCGGTAAATCTGTACCATGTTCGTGGTAGATTAGCGTCACACTTCATTGTGTTGTAACTGAAGTAGTCCGCGGCTCTATCGCGTCCTTCTAGGGACTGGTAGCTAGAACATTCATCACCGCTATTTCCTGAAAGTAAAACGTTGTTAAAGCCTTTTTACTTGATTATGGTACGATAGCTTAAGCTACCCATCATGGTGTACTTTCGGCTAAAGAATATAGATTATACCTTTGAAATCCAGATTTCGAATCTCAAGGATTTTTGTGTTTAAACGGATTGAATGAAATCCACTGCCAAATCGGTCTGCCCTGGAGTTAAAGAATCCAAATCTGGATGTCGTAATTCAAAGCATTATATTCTATACGATTACACCAGGAAAACAGATTTTGTTCAAGAATTATTGTAGAAGAAAACATTCAGTCAGCTTTTTCAGTACCTGAAGATTTGTTGATGGCCTTTTCAACACTGGATAAAACTCCTACAAGCAAAGACAATAACGCTGAAAATTAGTGAACGGTCTGGAAAGACAGTTTATCTTATCAGGCTAGGAAATGGTTAAAATTTTTCTTATCTCTTTGCTTCAGAACTCCAATCTTTGCCCCTACATTCTTGCCAAAATGAAAAACTCTACCGAAACTTGTTTCTTTTAATTTATAGTCTTGAATTGTTTTGCTTATCAAATTCTTATGCAAACTGAGTTTAATTTTTCGATCGATCAGCTTAACGCTTGAAGTAAGTCGATTATGTTGCTATTGTTTCTGTAAGTTTTGAATCGCCAATCTACGCCAGTTATTAAAGTTATTTAGCAGATGTTTTCGCGTATTTACGGGGACAAATAACTTAAATTTTATAAAGGATGTTAAAAAACTTTTTGATCTAAAAAGAAGATGTAAGTTAGTCCAAATAGCATTTGCAGTATACCTTTGATGCCAGCTCCACACATGCGAAAACTGACGGAGGATGAAGGCATTGAATCCAGCTTGTACACATAGAAAGAGCTGCAGTTTCTTACACGCATGCTCACAGAATACACGCAGCATTGCTGTTTTTGAGAAAAGCAAGCAAACCGTCTGACCACACCCTCGACGACACTTGGATGTCTTCCCAGCATCCATCCTGGTACTGAGGTACCACAATGATTGGATTCAACACATGAGGTTGCAATGAGGTCTCCGGCTGATCCGTTAAATGCAAACCAGTTCTTTAGATAAATGTCGCTGTCTATAGTTACGTTTTTGGAGAAAAATCTTGATCTACTCTTGTCGCTCAGAGTTGTGAAGTTTACGCATTCGCTGTCTTTGGAGGCAAAAAAAAATTCATCATGGGTGTCATGAACATGACAGTCTCATGTATAGAAGGCACTGGACCGAGCAGTTGAAGACACATCGCGAGTTCCTTACAATAAATTAGACAGCTATTTTTCGACATTTTTCTTCAGTAGCGTGGTACGATTGGTACGAAATCAACAACGTACGCCATTGGAAATATTTGGGGGCTAAAAAGTATATTGCGGAAGTATACAATAAGCGATCAGGTTTTTCTCTGTCAAACGGTCCAGAGGGTCCAATATTGTCAATATGTGAGCAACACAATATCATAGAATCTCTGTCTTCAGCAGGTGAATCGCTCCCCTATATCTTTATCAGTTTGTCAGTGTGACCCATATATTTCTTTTTTTTTTTCCAGTAATCCCTTGAGGAACCTATGTTTTGCTATCCTACATAATGCTAAGTCAGATATGATCTATATCTTACTATACCTGCAATAATACTGCCTCCGGCAATGATTTCTGAGGAAATAAACGTGACAAAAGCCAACAGCGCCTTTGTTTGCGGTGGCATGGTTGTCATATCACCTTACCTGTTTCAAGAAAAATAAAATGTCTCTATTATAACTTTCAATGTACGTTTTATATGGAATATGGTGATTGTTTAGAATTGTGAAAATGGTTAACCTGCGATCAGGCGGTCCTTCTTCCCCCTTGGTTTGGAGGCTAGGGGAAAAGGACGCCTGATACTTCATTTTTTCCCTTTCCCTGAGAAATGAAAAAACGGCTGATTGCAGGTTAGAAAATAGTGGGAAAAATACGCAGCGTTTTTTTCCTCTTGAAGGTTTTGATAAACACTTCATTTTTGTGATCGAAATACTCTAAACCTCATGTGAAAGTCGTATCTTATAAGACACTTAATTTTACTACTAATCCTAATTGCCAAAAGGTGTCTTCTGAGATTTAGATGAGTAGCTACCGAAGAGGTTCATATGGGTGAGGGGTGGGGAAAGAATCCACTTCCCTGCCCATATATATGAACGTCAACACCCCAGAGTCTTGTGTACATAATGTCAAGAATGCATCATGCAACAGACTTAAAAAAATTTCGTCTACATGCTTCCGTAAAATAAATGCAATGGCAACCATGAAGTTCTTTTGAATCCGCTTTGTTTTATCTACCAACTCAAACATTTTTTATTTTCAGCAACACTCCGTCTCCGTCTCAACGCACTTAACAATATAGTCTTATGTATGATGTAAATAAAAACACTGCTCCGGATAATATTTCGAAACTCTTCTCTCGAATTTCTAGTGTTCATACTTACAACACACGTCCCTCAACTTCTGAACATTTTTATACTAAAGAATCTCGACTCAATGTCAAACGAAATGCTTTTTCGCGTGTTGGGGTCAAAATTTGGAATAGGATACTTCAAATTCTTAAAGAAAGACCGAAAAAAGCTTTTAAAAGATCACTAAAAGAAATGCTACTCGATTTCCTTGAAACTGAAGACTCCTATATTGATGTGGATACGATCATCGTGAAAATGAAAAAGTAATTCTCTTGTCCTTTATTTTCATTTTATTTTATTTTTAAAATCTCACTTTAATATTGTCCTTGCATTTAAGTAGAATAGTATCTATTTAATGTAAAATGTATATACTTATATAACGCCAAATTTCTTTGTATTTGTCTAGTTGCCTCGAATAGCCTCGTTAACTGCAGGCCAGTCCCAATGTATCTTTTGCTATATTTCCAAATTTAAATTAAGTTGAAGTTGTAGGACAATTTAAAATTTGTATTTTCGGCGAAATGAAATGTACTTTCTTTGCGGTGCAAAAAACTGATCATGCTGCGAAATAACAAGGCAGGTTGCCCTAACCGCCCAGGGCCACAGAAATGTGTATATTTCCTGAAAAAAAAATCATCATTAAACTTATACTTACAATTTTCTCTGGCTTTGTTAACTTCAAGAGTAAATACAAAAGACAACCTTCCAACATTTAACGTTAGCTGAAAATTTTGTACAGTTTCCGCTGGCTGTTCAAAACAGGTGCAGGGGTGAACTGATTCTTCAAAATACTGTATTCTGCTACGCAATTATTCCTTTCTACTTAGTTACAGTACACTTTCTTGTCGAAGTGTAATCTATAATTTAGGTGTGCCTTCCTTTCCCACCTCAGCTAGCGAAAGAGAAGACTACTTTCTAGCAAAAGAAGTTCCAGTTTGTGGTTAACAAGACGAAACACACACTTTTTTTTCGTGGGGAGGCGTTATCTGATATCGGGAAGAAAACTTCCGTCGTTCTTTAATACTTGGCAATTGATATTGTTTCTGCCATCATTTTGGATGCAAAACATTTATATAGTAACTCAAGTGTTTATCTTAATCCCAAATTATCATATAACAAAGCCTCCGCCTGTGAATAAACTTAGCATTTGCCCTGCTTTGCCTGCAATTCGGCTGTCAGACAGTTGAGGAAGCAATTTTGGATGACAAACATACCTAACCAATTAAATTATCCTGTTTCAATCATTCTTCGTATAATGATTATTTCTTAAAATAATTTGTCGGGCCAAAAACAAGTGTGTAATCAATAGTTTATTTGTTGTACGGTGAATGACGCCTTTATGAAGAAGGATATGATTTTTTTTTAGTCGACTTTCAGGACTTTTATATTTGACAACAATAGGAGCTAATAGGGAAAGGGGTAGCTTGATTAATTTTTGATATTCTTTACACCAAGATTTTTCCGCCTTTCAATCACTGGGTTTTAACTTTTATTAAAATTAAACAACTATACAAAGTAGGCTTTATCAACCAGAGTCTTTTTCCCTCTCCATATAGACGAATTTTGTTTTTGTTTTCTTTTGTTGTTTTTTTCACCAGCAAAGGTGTACAGCCATTGAAGCTTCTGCAAATTAAACTGATTTCCTAAAGGACCAAACTCAGCAGTTACATCCCGATAATATTACGTTTTTTCATACGGATTTTTTGCTATGTCAAACGACTTTCAAAATTTTGCTTCGTCAAGTAAAGTTGCTTACAAACTATTTTAAATGATTAGAAATTTGTGAAAAATATGTATTTTCAAGTAGTGTCAAGTGACATCTGAATTACTTAGTCCAGAAACTATGAACTATTTTAACCCTTGAAAAAAGTAATAAAAGGAAATATCGAATTACACACTGACTATCGATGAGACGGCAAACAAATGCGGAAAGAGGTGATCTTGGGACACGAGAGTCGCCTTTGCAGGAAATTGGTATAACTTTAGTAACTGAAAGAGTACAATTTTTTCAGATAAAAAATTGTAAAACATTATACTACACCCTCCATGAACCGGTTCCGTTCCCTCTCTAACAGTTTGCAATTCAAGCTTAAAATCAAGATTGCTATCAAATACACTAGTGGTTATATTACAGGACAATCAATCAGATTATGAATGACATATCAGATCTCGTCGCCAAGTTATGGGCGTGTGTAATTTAATACTAGGTTGTTGTTCTTTTAATACGTAGATTGTCGTCATTTGTCAGGTTAGGGCGTATATATCTGTAAATCTGTAAACTGAGGTGACAATCTCTGAGTGTTCCCTTAATTTTGGCTGATCGGAAGCACAGCGGGTTTCAATAGAAAGCGGAAGGTTAACAGGAGTCTGAATTCCTTATTTGCCACCCAGGCAAAACAGTTGCTTCAAGTCTCAGATGCTAAATATTAGCCAGGCGTATTTATTTTTCGTTTCCTCTTTTATCTTGCCGTCAGAAGAAGAACGCTTTTCTGCTAAAGCGGACGGAAGAAGTTGCGTAAATATCCAAGCTAGTATCCCTTCCTTCACCCTTGAATATCCACACCGGTGAAATACTGAGAAAGTGTTGCCTTACCATTTGCACGAAAAATCAAAATTTCTGTACATCATTGCTCAACGTTTTTTCAACATCTTTTTTGTTTGCTTGTTTTTCTGGGAAACACTCGCGGCTTAAAGACTCACCGAATAACAGTATAATCGTCTACACACCTTTCCAGTAAAAAATGAGTGACTTGATTAATACTCCATGTACTATTCAAAGAGGTTAGTTGAACTCTAAAACACTGAAGTCATGTCATACGCACTTAAGACCTGCACAGTTCCCTTAGCCGTGCACACAGAAACTTTGAAAATAGGCAAACACTACCCCCACCAGCCAAAGTAAGAGAAAATTAATTATCATATTACTATCATGACCATTTATTTCTTATTTACCTTTAAAAATACACAGTTTGTTTAAGCCAATCGTCTCGAGAAGATACAGATGTATTTCAGACATCTGTCTGTATATAGTTTGAAAGGCAGGTAAAAGTCAGCTGGGGGCTTGAAATACGGTGGGGTTCTCAACATCGAAAGGCATCGTCAGGCAACGAGCTTTTTTTTTATCTACAATGTAATAGCTACGGCCGACGTCCCGACACGAGACTGTACCTTAAAAAACACATTCATTCACATCGAGGGCGCACGAACAAAGAAAACCAAGGAAGTGCGGGGAAGGTCAGAATTAAAGCGCACGCAGACGCGAGAATCTTCGTGTTGATCCAGGTTCTCCCGTCATGGATGTAAAACGTTGTATCGTCATCATATTGATAACAGTCACACTGTAGCTCACTCTGGAGGTTGGCGACGTAAAGGTATAAAATAACCGGACCTAGCCTGCGAGCAAGCGGTCCTATTTGGGCGAGTGAAACGAGTCTCGCGAGAACGTCCCTCCCGCGCGCGTTCTCGCGAGGCTCGCTTCGCTTCCCCAAACAGGAGAGCTTGCTCGCAGGCTAAAGCGGACCCAGAATTGAGCCCTGAGGAACACCGAATTCCACTGTTGCCATATCTGACTTCCTGTCATCAATTTGCACCAGGATACTTCTATCCTTTGAGTTAGATAGTCCATCATTCATAGTAAGAAGTATTTTGAGAACCCTAAGCCGAGCATCTTAGAGACCACCGACCTAAATTGGACGGTATCAAAAACCTTGCTCTAGTCTGCGCAGACCATCAGTGTTACCTCCCCTCTGCTTGATGCCCGTATTAGAGCGTCGCGGATCCCCAGTAAAACAGTAGTTGCTGAATGACCTTTCCGGAATCCTGATACTGTAGGACCGAGAAGCGTTTCCTTGTTGATGTAAAGAATGAGCTGGTTGAGCACCAAGCGCTCGAACACCCTTAGATAGTGTTGGTAAAGTAGAGACCGGACGGTAATCAAAGTCAGACAAGGGTTCATCAACTTTAGGAATAGGGCAGATTCTCGCTATCTCCCAGAGTCTGGGAAAACTTGATGTTGCAATACAAAGGTTGATTATATGTGTCAAAGGACTCGATATATGTACCTTGGCCAGTTTTACGAATTTCACATGTTATAATTGACCTTATTTGAGCCAAAAGCATCAGGTGAAGCGTTGCTATTTTCAACTCTGCCGCAGAGTTGAAAAGAAAAGGGTCTTGTCAGAATTAGTCCAGTACAAAGCACTTACGGGGGCTGGCCGGAGGAACAGATATCTTTTCAGCGCGTACGTAGACAGGCAACATGCTATAATGATTATGGTCT